ATGCAGGGAGACAACGTTGTAGTTTCTAAATCCCATAACCTGAAACCGTCCTCAAAAGACTTAACACACCTGTGTTTGATCAACCTGTGCCTTTATAAAAGCCAGGAATCTGAATTAAAGTGATGAGAACCAAATTTATCTCCCCAAATTGCTACCCACTTTGTACATGAAAAGACAAAGTGAATTTCTGAAGCACTTGGAGGAAAAATCTTGCTGTATTAATAGTGCTATACTATATGTGGTATGCCCCAGCTCCTAGCCAGTTCAACCAAAAATACTAAAAAGACAAGGGAGAGTTTCAATGAGCATAGACTCATCTTAATGGAAGGCCCTTGTAAACATGACTTTTGAGACTCTAATCTTTTCTATGTAGGCCTATGTGGTCCATAGACTTAGAAGCATTCTACATAGGGTTTTGAGGCCTACATTTATTACCTTAAGAATTCTAATGGGAGCATACTTTCATCAGCAATATATTGTTCTACAATAGAATTTTTAAAGTATGTAATACATAATTTTAATGTACTATTGGTTCTTTTTAAAGTTATTTATTTAATTTTAGATGTATAAATGTTTTGTTTGCATGTATGTAGGTGTACCACATGCATGCAGTGCTTCCAGATGCTAGAAGAGGGCATCAGATGCCTGGAACTGAAGTTGCAGATTGTTGTTAGCTGCCATGTGGGTGCTGGGAACTGAACTCAGGTCCACTGCAAGAGCAGCCAGTGCTCTTAACTACTGAGCCATGTCTCCAGCCCCAACTTCTCTTATTTCTATTAACACAAATTAATTATACAAGTTAACGGGATTCACATGCATGTATCATTCACTGCTCATGTTCCTCCCTCTTATCAACCATTGCTCACATCCCGCATCAATTTCCCTAGTCCCTAAAAATGCAATGTGTGTGTGTGTGCACGTGCACACATCTTAGCTTCCACATATGAGAACACATAGTACTTCCACTGTCCAGCTTATTTTGCTTAACATGATGTGTCTAGTTCCATCCATTTCGTTCTTCTTTGCGTCTGAATGATATTTCATTTCATGTATATACCATATTTTCACCTATTCATCCGTTGGTGGGCTCCTAATCAGAGCCCATATTCTAGTGATTGGAATAGTGCTGCAATAAACGTGGATGCGAAGGTTCAGATATGTACCGAAAACTGGGATAAAAGAATCAAGTGAGAGTTCTGGTTTTAGTTTTTTTAAAGAATTTACAGCTTTTCCATGATAGCTACACTAATCCACATTTTTACCAAAAATACATACAGGTTCTTTTTTGTCTCTGTCTTAACTAGAATTTGTTCTTATTTCATGGTGAAATTTAACATCTTTTTAATATTTTTCAGCCATTTGTGTTTCTTTTTAAGAAAGATTTATTTATTTGTTTTTCTGTATATGAGTGTTTTGCCTGTACTTATGAGTACCATGTGCATGCCTGGTGCCCACAGTGGCCAGAAGAGGGCATCAGATCCCAGAAACTGGAGTAACAGTTACAGCCAGTTGTGAGCTGCCATGTGGGTGCTAAGAACCAACCCCAGGTCCTCTGTAAGAGTGAGTCAGTGCCTCCAATCGCTGAGCCACCTCTCTAGCCTCTGTACTTTTTTTCTTTTTTTTGAAAAGCTTAGAATTTATTATTTGAAAGATCAATGAAGTTGAAAAACCATAACAGGAAACTCAAATAGGGAGGTAATATTAGCTGCAAATATCACAAATAAAAGGCAGTATATCACTGCAGAGTATACAGATTTTCATAGAAAATATTTAAATATTATGAACAAATTTGTCAATGAGTTGAGAAACTAGATGTAATGGACAATTTTGCCTGAAAAATACAACTTCAAAGTGACTCAAGATGAAGTAGGAAATTAGGATGGCCATGCATCTATTAAAATTATTATTTTTATTATTTATTACTTATTTTTTATTACTTAATTTTATGTGTATGAGTGTATTGCCTGCATGTATGTAAGTACACCCATGTCATGCATTGCCCACAGAGGTCAGGAGAGGGCATCACATCCCCTGGAATTGGAGTTATGGATGGTTGTTAGTTGCCATGTGGGTGCTGAGAACCAAACCCAGGTTCTCTGCAAGAGCAGTTAGTGTTCTTAACTGCTGAGCCACCTCTATAGTTCCTATTAAAATTATTATTATTAGCCGGGTGTGGTGGCGCACACCTGTAGTTCTAGCACTTGGGAGTCAGAGGGAGGCAGATCTCTGAGTTCAACGCCAGTCTAGTCTACATAGTAAGTTCCAGGCCAGCCAGGGCTACAGGGAGACTCTATTTCAAAAAGACCAAAAAAATAAAATAAAATAAAATTATTTTTTTGAAAAATTCTAATGAGTTTATTGGGCTTGCTAACAGAGCATGGGGTGGGGGTTTGTTTACAGAAGAGTGGGCGCCCCCCCATTTACGGCTGCACTTGCAAAGTCCACAGATCCTGTGACTTCCCAACAGCCACAGAAAATGGTGAGAGAGGTGCCTCATGGCATTCTTGGCTTATATCTCCTTAGCCCCTCCCCCACATGCAGCTAAGATCAACTGACTGGGTGGGAGGGGTAACTGACTCCCCCACTGAGTCCTTGAGCAGCGTTGGAAGGAGGTGTAGCTATAGCTTGCCAGCATAGTGGTCAGAGGACACTTCCAGGTAACACTCCCCCCATTCTTCCGACTCTTACATTCTTTCTGCCAACCTCTTCTGCAAAAATCCCTGAGCCTTGAAGGGTGTGGTAGGTGTGGAATGATCTTCCTCCCATTGTTGCAAGGCAT